CCATAAAAAGTGGTATATATCCTCTACATCTGGCTTCTTTAATCAAGTATAAAGTGATTTGGTTAATTAAAGTCATATGTCAACTACTATACATGTGAGTGTGTCTGTCTCTGTATTTGTATGTGCATGTTTGTGTTCGGTTATGCACAAAACCCGACAGCTGGTCAAGAGGAATCCGCTGTCGTCTTCTGGTGGAACCGACCTTCGAATCTCTTCACCCAACACTTTCACTCGAAATGGAAGTAAGCTCGACAATTTGTCTCAATCCTTATTTCAGGATTTGACGTCTGGTCTTTCGAACACAAAGCCGCCTGGAAAGGTTTATGGATTAAGAGATCGGAAGTTGCAGAACTTGTAGTCACTATAGGACATCGGATAGAGTGGTATATATCCCAACGTTTGGCCGGATATGGGGACGTAACAAAACAAACTAAACTCGATGAACTAGCGTATAAAACTAAGCCAGTATTACCTCTGGCTGCTAGATAGAAGTAGAGAGATAAAGTTAGAGAAGACGAGGAACCAGAAAAGCCATACAGTAAAAGGGGAAGACTTGACTAAGCTGGAGTCTGGTTTCGAACTCGAAATTGCCAACCAGTTCGTGAGTGTTGCATACACACATCTACGAAGCTAAAACAGGCCTTAGGATTGCAGAATCATACGCTAGTTTATTTTCATACAGAAAAGTTGTGATCACATCCGCATCATTTTTACTCGCCTACATGCATGTAGGACAAGCATAGGGAGGACAAACAAATCATGAACTGCCTCAGTAGATCGCAAAGTGAAGCATAAGAAGTATGTAGAATGTCAACCGATCAACTTTCTTGACTTTGTGTTTTTTGCTGATTGTTTGTGAATAACGATTTTTGGCTCTGACGATCTCCATCACATAACGGACGAAAACTCAGCACGGCGGTATCGAGATCGTAGGACGGACAGTCGAGATCTTCTTCGCACAATGCAACCATCACAAGTCCAAGGTTAACCTCCTTCGGTATCTACAACTCCCTTCCACCCGCCTATTCAAATGAAAGGAAGGGTATATCAGTTACAATCGACTAAGGGACTCTTGAAAACCCAGCTTCTCTTCATATCCCATAATTATTTAATTTAAATCTATTAATATTTATAGTAGTGACCATATATACATTATATTATTATAATATTATGCTATTAATATTAAGTAATTTAATTTAACTTAATCCCTTAGGATTATTCAAGCCAACCCACGTGACTAAAGTTCTTATTTACGAATTAATGCAACCATCACAAGTCCAAAGTTAACCTCCTTTGGTATCTACGACTCCCTTCCACCCGTCTATTCAAATGAAAGGAAGGGTATGTCAGTAACAATCAACTGAGGGACTCTTGAAAACCAAGCTTCTCTTCATATCCAATAATGTTATTGTGAGAAATTTCTCTTTTCCTTAATTTAAATCTATTAATATTTATAGTAATGACTATATATACATTATATTATTATAATATTATGCTATTAATATTAAGTAATTTAATTTAACTTAATCCCTTAAGATACGTTCAAAGAAAATTTTTCTCATGTATTCTTCTGCTTCAAAGTCCGGCTGAAAGTATGACTACATTATGAAGACAGGGTCCTGTCTAGGCTATCAATAGAGGGACTCCATCCCACCCGAACCCCGCTCCACTTGTGTGACTGCGATCTAGTGCATTGGGTATGAGTCTCGACTTTAGCTGGTGTTTGCCCGAAGGGAAAACCTTGGAGAAGAACAGAGAGCGAAGCACCTTTAGGTGTCTCCGTGTCTCCTCTCGTGCATGTGTGCGTGTGTGCGCTTGTGCTTGTATGGAATGCGGTGACAAAGCCCATAACGCCCATGAGTTGTCAATTCGGCACGGCCCAACCGCACCACCACAGCAACTGGTCCACCTGTCTGAGTCCTGTCGGATGGGTTGGGATGGGCCCCGCAAGCACTCATTTCTGGCCTTACCCTTCGGGGGACAGATTCGAAGTCACCTGGTGTCCAATGGGGCCGTCAAGCCCTTGTTGGGAATGATGGAGCGGCGGAGATGAACATGCATGACAGGAAGTAGAGTCGGTTTGGGAGAGCTGAGCAATTTTTTCCCCCAGAAAAGCATACATTTGGTGGAGTTTTAGGGTTTGAGCGAAGGACACGTGACCAATTGAGAACCAGTTGCCTGCCCGCGACCGCAAGCATGATTTGTTGCCCATCCCGTCGGGGCAGAGGAGACAGTCCGGATCCGGGGCCCCTTCAACAGATCAACGCATCGATAAGAGACTGAAAAAGAGAGGTGGTGCGATGGGCGATAAGGGGTTAGGTTAAAAGAAGGTACAGAAATCGGAGGGAGTGCAAAATGGGCAAGACGAGGGTGGAAGGCCTGTGATTTGCGGCTTTATTGCCGAGGCTAAAGCGGCACAGGCTAATTGGAAGACAAAAGTATTCTAAGAGATTATAAACACAGAGAAATAATGACTATAAATAAGTGGAAGATAGCGATGGGGGGGGGAGGGTTGTGACCACCAGAAGTTGTAAGAGGCTAAGTAGTGTGTTGACTTGACATGACAGATGATGCATAAAGATTGTACACGAGTGTGCATGTTCTGGTTGACCGCAGGTTAGGCTTGAAAAGTTAACTATTTGTCTCCTGTAAAGGGGGGTGGGGGTGGGGAGGAGGAAGATACAGAGTAGAGAGGGGTGCTGGGAAGTGGATGTGGGCAAAATCAGTTTACCTTTGATCTGCAGACCCTTGCAAAGACTCGACCAGGCCAGCATCGTTCTCGAGTCCCAGTGATATGATAGGCATGAAGTTAACCCTTCAGTTGGGATGACTACAAATTCCACCTTTCTCCCACATGGGTACTCCAGTTCACCTTCAATAATGGGCTGGTTTTCGAAGGCTCCCTTTTGTGAGTAAATGTGATTGCTCTGGAAACCTTCCTTTCGTAGGAAAGTGCATGAGGGAGATATTGGTAGGTCGATCTCACCAGAAGACGACGGCTGATTACCGTCGTTCTGCAGTCGTTTGGCTTTAATGCAACGTTTAGGTTGACGCAAACCATGAGAAAGCTTCCCTCTTTTTGGATGAAAATGGGATAAGCTGTTGGCCAACATGCCACTTGACGGACATCATTAGAGCTGGAGCTCATTCTAGCAAAGACTTAGAGTTAACATTAAGTCAAGAAGACCATACGGCTTTATCCTAGATGCAATGAATAATCATAACTAAAAATTTAACTATTTAGCTGGATAGATATATGATTACTTAACTAGTTTTTCTTCATATTAGTCTGGGTAGATGTACATGAATGTGTGCGCCATGTGTGTGTGAGTGCTAACATCTGTATGTATGTAAGTGAGAGTATTTTCAAGTTGCGACCAGTATTTAATATAGACGGCACACTCGAGTATATTGGAAATAACCAAACCCATCTATGTCCATTTATATGATTATATATATATATATATATATATATGGCATATAGGATAATACTAAGGGAAACTGGATTTCGATGAATCTCTTGAGATAACAATGTTGGGGGGACTTTCATTTCGTATGAAAGTGTATGAAGAAGAGATTCGTTGGTCGATCTAACCAGATGAGGACGGATGAATCTCGTTGTACTGCAGCCGTTTGGATTTGTTAAGACGTTCAGGTTGATGGAGCCCAAGAGACTTCCTCCCTCGTTTCCGGTGAAGATGGACTGAGCTTTCGTCCATCATGTGATGGACATCATCAGAGCTGGGTGTCCCTCTTGTAAAAGTCTCATGTTAACACTAAAGCAAGAACACTATCCGGCTCTATCTTACTTCTTATATGGACTCAATTGAGCCAAAAGAAAATTAAAAACCAAGATAGATACAGAGTCGTTTGGATAATTATCTTTCATACTAGTCCTGCTACTTTTGCTCGAGTGCGTACGTGCGTGCGTGTGTGTATGTGTGTGTGTTAGCGTCTATATGCAATACCGGTCCTCAATCAGAGTAAGCCCGTAAATGAGTATGGTTGAGGTAGTGAGATATGAGCTTGTAAGCATGTAAGTTAAGTTACGAAACCACTTGTCCTAACTTCTCAGTCTAGGGTCATTGACGTTTAACCCTCCAAGGAAAGGCTAGACTGGGGTTGCGTAATCTGACATGTCTGGTTTGGTCGATGAGCTTACTCTAACATGTTGGACGAATATGAGTGAAATTAGAACCATCACCGAGCAGACAAATTGAGTCGCATTATTATTTTTGACAGCTGCTCAACACCCTCTCTCTCTTTCAATCTATCAATCAAGCATAAATATTTCCAACTCAACTTTCTACCACCGTTCCTCACATTTAACGTATTTCCTAAGCTATTAATTTCAATAGCCTCTCTTATCTTTATTTTAACCACAGACGTACCATAATCAGCAAACCTACTAATTTGAGACCATTCAATGTCATCTCCAGTTTCTAACATGTGTTCGGCCACTTCTGACCATCGGACCCAGCTTCCTTTAGAAGCATTTTTGTTTTCTATCAATTTTAGTCGAATGGGTCGGCATGTCTCACCAACGTGACATCGACCACATGAGAAAACCATCTTGTAGCAATCGGATCTCAATAATGGGTCATATTTCTCTCTAAAAGATGGCATAGCAGAAGAAAGTGTGACGATTTCTTTAAACACTGTTTTTATCCCCCACTTCTACTAATTCGTCCATATTTTTTGAGAGAAGGCATGATGGCAAAATTAGGACATGGCAAAAGGTCTCAGTCTGTCTATCTTTGACTAAATGGTCTCAGTCTAAATATTTATTTCTCCGTAGAAAGATATTTTTTTCAATATTGCCCGAAGTATAATTAATTTCCAGGACTAAATTTCTCAGTCGTTGCAACTCTTTAGTTCAGTGGTTCCCAAACTTTTCCTAGTCGCGGTGCTCCTTTTCAATTAAAATTTTGTCATGGCGCCCTACCCTAAGTATGACTATTGGTAAGTAAGAGATAAAAATAAATAAAACTCGTGTATCTTCATTATTATTTTTACTTTATTAACAGTAAATTAATATTTAATAATTAATGTGATGGATGAGCCTGCAAATGACTGCACATTTTCTCAAATTGAAGCTTCTAAAATATTTCGCGGCTCCCCGGGGCGCTGAGGCGCAGTTTGGGAATCACAGCTTTAGTCAAATGTTTGCTATCCGCTAGCCTCATACTTCTAAGAATCATTGACTTCAAAATTCCAACCTT